GCGCCGATATGTCGGCGACGGTGTCGAAGACTATTTGATCTCTCGCCCTCTCTTTTCGTATTTAGGTGACCCAAGGGGGACATTAATAGGGTTCTTCCGGTTGTCTAGTCGGTCAATCCACTTTGCCAAGAAAGATGAAGAGTCGAGGGAAAAATCTTTCAGCGTCCTCTCTACCGAGTAGCGGCCGATTGGCTCGTCGATACTCTTCGCCTAACTGCAGAACGTCTCTATTGTCCCGGTGAATGGTACAGCCAGCCTAATCACTGTACCCCATTATAGCGGCTATCTCTGCCTTCATCGTTTTTCTTCTTCTTCTTCTTCTTCTTTTTACTCCCTATTGCTCTGTGTAATCCTCCCTTTACTTCTCACCGATATTCCAACGTCCCTATCTTTACGATCGCCATTCAAAAGGTTACTGCCGCAGGGGGGCACTGGCTCCGAGCGTTTTTTTAAAGACCGATCAGGATTTGTTGTCGGGATTGATTGGCAGATAGAACGTGCCGACGAGCTGTTGTAATTCCTAGGCAAACCCTTCTAATCGACCGAAGTGGACCGTCTGTGTCGGAAGGGAGTCCGAGCGCGTGGCTTTGGTTAGCCGATCGATCTGTCGGCCAGCTGAATTCCGAGACATCGATCGCGCTTAACAGTCATAACTGGAAAATTACGTATTCGTGTGCTCGCAAATGTGTTACACATATTTACTGCTTCAGCAATCAGTGCGATAATTATACAGTGTAATAGTCCGTGGAGAGGCGAATGAATCGGACGTTTCGTTCGTTGGAGAAAATTCTGAATAAAGAATTGTCTAAGAAATAGTATCAATTCGTCAAATCTGTGTCTATTCCGTAGCCAACAAAGGAAAACAGGAATTTCGAATTTCTCAACTTGCTCAGATGATTCTGAAAATGACGATCATTGGAAAATAATAGATTAATCGAAACCAAAAATCACGAATGGTGTTGTACACAAAATATTCTCCTTATTGTTGTTATCGTAATCAGAATTTTACTGGCTTTACTGTCTATTGCAATTTACAGATAGAGTTTTGCAAGATCGTATTTTCGATTTATTCGTACAAAAGGGGTAAATCACAATTATTTTTCTCTCAACTGTATAAATCAGATTAATCAAAATCCTCTTCTCTTTCTGCTTCCAACATTTGTAACTTGACGTACGAGGACTTACTTAGGTAACTAACCTAAAAATTTGTCGCGACAAATTGGCAGGAACGATCGTGCAAGCAAGAATCGGGGAAACTGATGAAAGTTTGCGGGATGATTCGGCTTCGATTCTCTCTCGCAGTGTAGTGTAATCCAAGACGCGTGCGAGTTTGTTTTCTGGTTCTCGAACTCGTTTGTACGACGCGAGTCGAAGTTCACGAGGAAAAGTATCGTCGCTCGGTTAAGTAACCCCCTCGAAAGAGGAAAGGAAAGCACGTGGAAGTGCGAAAATGACCGAAGATACGAGCGGCTTCTTTCACGCTACATCTTCTACCGCAGTTGCTCGTCTATTTTTTCTTGTTCACGTTAATCCAACCTCTCGCCGTTCTCTCTCGTTCGCCTCGTCCTTTACGTTTAGCCCAGAGATCTTCCTGGATACGTGTCGCAGTTGAGGAAGAATGCCGGGGCAACACGAGACAGGTTAACGGTGGCCTGGTAACATCTGCTACAGAGGATAAGAGACTTCCGGCGAAATTGCATCTTAAAAATATGATTTGACTTCATTTTAGCGTAACGACCGGCTTTACCCCTTTCTTTCGCGTGGTCCCTTTCCCACCCTGGTCTCGGTTAACGGCCATCGCGATGTCACGAGATCGCTTTGAGACGAATTATAGAGTATGTTAATTATCTACAAAGGCGGATGAAAACGCTCGCGCGCTCGATACAAACTGTTATAATTTCGCGAGAGAAGATTGTACAATAATCCAGTTGATCTCGTTCTAAAGCGCGGAGCTTCCACTTTGACAGCGTTATGCTCGTTCTGTTTTTTTTTTCTTTTTCCAAAGATACAGTAGGTTGATACTTTTGTTTCGCCTTGATAAAAAAAAATCAAACGTCTCGAAAAAATTGTTTGCGATCTTGAAGACTAGACGTCCTCCCACGATGCTTTCTCTTCTCTGGTGATTTCTCTTTCACCGTTTTATTACTTCACTGTTTCGAGTATTCGAGGTTAAACGACAGATTCAAACAATAAGTCTAATATTTCGTTGTTTCTATTTGTTCGCAGCAGAGAAGGATTATTGTAGCTAGTTACTTCAATTGAAAGTCTCGGAACTAATATTACTACGCTTGTCGTAATAAATAGGTCGTTTTGCGAAGCAAAAAGTTATGAAACGTTATGAACGAGAACTCGAAACAAAATGTAAAACTCGAAATTTCGATAGAACGAAGTGAAAATTGCACGTGACGGTAATAACAAGTGTCCGAAAAGAAGTGATAACCTAGATTGGAAAGTACAAGTGTGAAAAAATAAGGAAATTAATATCGTCAACGATCGACTGCAGATTTCAATTGTAATAATTATGATATCATTTTACAATGGTAAAAATATATTGAATTTGGTGGATCGATTTATCAATATCGATTAACATGTGATCAATACATTCAAGAAAGGTGACAGATGAAATTTTTAACAATCTAACACATTGAATTTGGTAAATCGATTAATATTGATAATTACATTAAGACTGATTAATTTTCAAAAATGATATAGACGTTGAAACTTTTATGCAACATAATCCGGTAGTTTCGTTCATGTACGGAAATAATTTGTATCCTTAAATGAACGATTATGGAAAATTCGTGCAATTTTTCTCGTCATTCAGGCGGATAGTTTCCCTTAATTTCCCGTTGTGTTTTGCTTTCATATCTGGGAAATGTGTCTAAATTATTTCAAACCGCTCGTACGAATTGAGCTATATATATATATATATATATAAAACAATGTTGCCGTTTTACTGCCGAGCAGCAAGCGTATCGTTCGCGGGCAAGTAGTACGAGTGTCTGTTTCGTCAGACGCAAACTAGCCGCTTAGCCGCTGCTAAAAGTCGTGTCTCTTGTAAACTGTCTCATATAAATCTCCGTGTCTCTCCAACATGGATTTCGTCGCGAGCTTGCATTTTTAATTCTCAAGCAGTATCACCGGGTCACAGTTTTTTTACTTGGTATTTTCTCTTCTGATACAGACTTTTAGCAATGAAATTTAATCGAATGAAAAACTCCGAAATCAATTAACGCGAAGACTAGTTTATAAAGTTTAATGGTACCAGTTTGGAAATTAATTCGAGTAACTGGTTCATTCAAGTGTTGTTACTTTTATATAAAATTCGTGTATGTAATATAATATAAATTATATATATATGCAACAAATAATATGCAATGTATGATAATAAAACATCCCTCTGCGAATATATTTTCAGACAGATATTTTCTCTTTCGCGAAAGTTCAAATACGGAGACACACTTTTGTTTCATGTGTCGTTCTTTGAAATAAGCCGAGTACAAACGAACTTATTGCCCAATGTTTATGAAAAGAAAATCCTCAACGGCGTCTCGTCGCTGGTATCGGTGCGAAATCTCAACGGCAACGGTCGCGAGAGCCGTCTTTGACCGAAGAGAGAAGAAACAATGAAAAAAATCACGTTTCCGCGATTACTCTTTGAGCGCCGCGTTCCCTTCGCTTCGGTAAAAATTACCGAGAGCCTTGTAGAGAACGTTGTAACAAAGACAACGAGTAACGGTGAAATTCTATTCTTCGCTAAGCTCGTTCCCTTTTGAATTAATGCAGCGACGCGACGACGACGACAACGACGACGACGACGACGACGACGCTGCTTTGAGAAAAAAAGAAAAACGTAGAAACTTGCCCTACCTTGTTCAGCGTAACAAATGTAATTTCGCCTATAACGGCCAAAGGAGGGCAAGAAGGAGAGAACGTTGAAAAGTCTTTTATCGCTTCTCGCCATAAATCCGCGAGATGATCGGCTTTCACCGTGGCGTGTTTCGCGTCCCTTGCCGCGGCCACGGTGTGCTCTTCAGCTCTCTCCCGCACTTCCACTCTCACCGGTCGTTCTAACGGCGTTGTACTAGATCGTGCTTGTCGAACGATCTCATATATTATGCAAATAAAGGATTCAAAGTTTTACCCAGGCAGAATATACGAGCCATTATATGGGATAAGACGTGGGCTGGGGCTGCTGCGAGAGGGTGAAACGTGCCCTCGCTCGCGACCGCGGAGAGCCTCTTTACGCTCGTAGCGGACGTTGTCGCGTAAATTACCTGTAACGTTGCTCGCTTGTAAATTTAGGGACGCACGCCCACGCGCCTTTTTGTCCACCGGAGATTTTTCTCCTATTGTGGCTCGCCTAAGTGTACCAGGAGTTTTCCTACCCGCGCTGCGCTGCGGGGTGTTTCTACTTTACGAGATATACCTGGACTTTTAACAGCACCGTAATAGCGTGGCACGAACTGTTTCAAAGACTGAAATGCAACTTTGTTGAAGAAGAAAAAAAAAAAAAAAGAAGAAAGGAAAGAAAGAGAGGAAAATTGTACGACTACGTCTGATGTAGCATGCACGATCAAACGAATTGTAATTATAATTTCTCGTTTCTCGTCGAAATCTACGGCGTTGTGCATTTGTGTGTTTTAGGAAGAAACCGAATGGAATAGCGGTAGGCTTGATTTGATCTAGGACTGCGGATTTTTATGCATTTATGGCACATTGTACTTTCAAAGGGTGCATCGATACAATTTAGATTTAAATTATTGTTAACTTTTAAATATAAATTTTCAATTGTCGGCTGTCGTATAGAAAAAAGTGATTCTTGAAATCATCAGTTTGTTACAGCAAAATGCACTCAGTATGTGAAAATATGTCTAACAAGATATCCAATAAGGCAAGCTAATTTCTAGGCCGCAATTTCCTCAATTGCCCCCGCAAATATATGAAATTGCATAAACATCCGCAGCCTGTCGATTCCGCTGATGATCAATCATACGCACGTCGTGTATCCATGTCAATTTCGACCAGGGTGGATTGGCCCTGATGTGACATTCGAAATAGACGTCGTCGCCTTCCTTGATGTCCTCCGGACTCAGCGTCGATCCAAGGTTCAGCGACACGATCGGAGGATCTGCAATCAGACGTCGATCGAAGCAGTTAAGTACCATTAACGACGACGAAAAAAAAAAAAGGAGAAACCGAGCAGATCGTGACTCGGATAAAAATTATCGAAAGCCGAGAAAAAGCTCGATACACGGCGAACGTTTCGTACGGGGATGAAGTTAATAATCGCGAACGATTCTCTCCGATAATGGATGGCAGAGGGCCCGCGGGTGTCTCGTTGTCGGGCTTTTTACGATTTTTTCGCGTAAAGAGGGAATACAATGAAAGGCTTAGATACGTTTTATCGCGACTTTATAGGCTCCACCCTCGTAGAATTTCATCAACCTGATACCAGCTTAAGGCGCTTTCTCTCTCTCACTTGGTTACGTTTTCACCACACTGTGCAGGTAACCTGTCCGCATTTCCGATACGAAATATTTTTGTCCTTTCTCGAGCTCGGATTCGCGAGCCCCTGTTTCTTCCCCCCTTGACCACGAAGCTCCTCTGCTTCAGTGATATACGACCGTCTCGATGTCAAGGGATTATTTTAATCCAAAATACTCGCCACGTACGTTCTTGCTTGAAAGCCTCAGGAGTTGGTATTTTCTTTGAAAATTTTTAATTGGTACCGTTAAAAGTCACGAAATGTTTAGAGGTAAACTGTTTGAAATTAATTGTTGAATTTTGTATTTAAACAAATTTTATTTCATTGATCGTGATCACTGTCTCTGGTTGGTTTAAATTCGAAGTAAGATCGAGTATTAGAAGGTTGGATAATGAAGATATTTATGAGCAGATTCTGATGCATTTATTGTAAAGTTTAAACATTTAAATACGTACAGAATCACATGTAATGTGCAAAAGTGTAGGAAATATCAAAAGTACTGTTTATGATTTTTAATCGATAGTGGATTCTTCGAATGTTTTTAGAAGGGCTAGATAACTATTTTTCCAAAATAGATTATAGTTGGTTACATGTTAAAATTTGGTGACCAGACTAGCTGCTCAACTTCGATATCACGCTAGATCATAATCTTCATGGCTACTAATCTCGACTATGGCGGTATACGAGAGCGAATTTTTATGCAAATTTTGTGCAATAAAGATTCGTTTTATGTATTAAAGATCATAAAGGAAATGTTCTACTTTTGATACATTTTATATGCTTTTGTATTTTATATGCGTCCTATATATTTTTGCATTGAACTTCGTAAATATTGTACATAAAAATGCGCAGTATACTTATAAGCTGTATTTCTATTATGTTCTGCTCAGTATTTAATATGGATTCAGTAGATAATGAAATCTTTGAAATTTACGTGCATTTTATAATACAATATATTATTATTATTATGGTATATTTAATATATTCAAACGCTATATTTATTTATTATTTAATACTTGATTGGTATCATTGGATATTGGAGATTATAATAATACATTATATTAAATTACTTAATTTCAAAATTCTCAATTTAATTTCATTTCATCATTAAACTCTTTCACGGAAAATAAAAAGTACAGGGGAAATTTTTGGCAATCTACTTTAACCCTTTGCACTCCAAACTATTTTTCAATTATTTTCTTTTTTTTTTTAGAAATTTAACTAGCAATTTAAAAATATCGAGCGTGACTCAAGAGTTCCTCAGTGATGAAAACTGATGTCGAGTCACACTCGACTAAAGAGTGCAAAGAGTTTAATTACTATCATCATCTAGTCAGTGATACTTTTCGAAAATTAATTTATTATTAAATAATATATTTTATACAGTATTGTATACATTCTTTCAACTGTGGAAACAAATATATACGAGACATTTGCTCCATTATCTACTGAATCCACGTTACAAGGGAAGAAAAATCGTGCGTTGTTCGCCTAATTTTCTCGTACGTTGGACCATCCCTGTCTCTCTACGATTGTCTTCAAGCTTGACCTCAGACGGAAGTCCCGTCTCGAGACAGGCGATCCCTTTCCGGGTCGGCGGGGTAACGTCCTCGGCAAAAATTCCGGCATTTTCTTTGTTGCCTGTATCGCTCGTTTACTGTCTTCATTAGTTTAATCATAGCTCTTAGCTCGCCTCCTCGCCGGCGAAGTTTATTCTTCGGGCGTTCTCGTAGGATTTTATCGCGCGCCACGATAAATTTCTCCCCACCCCCCCTCTCGCCCCTTATCCGGTGGCTCTTCTCTGCCAAGCTCGGGTGTGCACCGGTGTGTACCATTCTTTCGAGATAGTATTAATTAGCTCGATCGCGTCTCTTCCCTCCGGAGCTCGACGCCGGCCACTTTTTAAACTCTCGAAGCGTTCGTCGTCGCGCCGTCTCTCCCGTCGTTTCGCCGCTGGTCCCTTGTATTTTCCCACCCTTCCCCGGGATTGCAATAAATTCCACCCACTATTCCGCCCCCTTTCATTTTCTTCCCCGTTTCTCGCGGATCGAGAGCTCTCGCTCGTGTGTACAGACCGAGAGAACACGGAAGGCACCAAGCACGAAAAACTTGCAAACTCCCAAGGTAATGCGTAATTTCGACGACGCTGCTCTCCCGACGGTCAACGTAAATTGGATACACGACACGACGTTATTTCTTTCGCTTCTCGCCCCTTTTTTCCCGCCGATCCCTTTCCTTCGTGCTGATACACGCGCCTTTCGAGGTACGTACGTGTGTGCACGGTACCTTTATGGAACAATGTTTGACTGAAGGGTTTGGTCACTGTGAAGAGTAGGGTTCTTACTGTTGCTCGGGTCTACGGGTACCCGAGCGCTCGAGTACTTGGGTACACACACTCGCTTGAAATACGAGGTATCAGAAAACATCTGAATGCTTGGATATTTATTCAATTTAAACGCGATGAGCTTTCTTTCTCTCCAGCCACGAATTTATTGGCCGTGAAATTTCTAGTAATGTCTCTGTTAAATACAGGAGTCTGTCTGTTCTAAATACTTTGATGAACGTTAAAAATGTTCCAATGACAGAAGAATCTCTGGACCAGCGTTTTTAGAAATTAATATTTATCTTGGAGAGGTATTTCTACGAAAAGAAAATTACTATTGAACGTTCTTTCTTTAACATATTAAACACCCGCCTGTTCTAAAATACATTAAATTGTACCAAATTATAAATTAATTCCTCTCATTTCTATCATTATATGATAATTCAACTTAATTATACTCCACTGTATTAATAACTTCATTGAACGTCGGTCTCTCTGATTCATCGCTCGAGTATTCAGGTTCAAGTTCGGGTACTCAACTATTCAGTAATATTTCCACTCGTGTTGATATAATTTCCGATGAATTGATCTTTCTCAGAGATCTGTCTGCGAATTTATTTGTCTCCTTCTTCGTACTACCTGTAATTCAGCTTTGTAATCGGTGTTTCTTCTCTGTTTCTTCTCTGTTCGTCTTGGTTACTCTAGTAAAATAAAATAAATACATACTCCTGAACTGGAGAGTTCGAATTATAACGAGTTCCCCAAAGTAATAGCTCCGATGAAAATAAACGAGCGAAAAACCCACGCAGCAATGACGAGCAATCAGTTCCCCTGTGTTAGCCACTTACTTACAAAGTTTCCAAATAATTAATTGCAAAAAGTTGCACGGCTTCCAACAGGCTCCGACACAGGCTCCCGCTTCCAATCGAAAGGGTGTTCGAGAATCTTAACCAGATCTTAACCAGATCCTAACAAGTGTAAAGCTGCGAAGTTCCAGGACATTGGAATTTCCGCGAGGAACTGCATTTACGTTGGATTTATCTCCCTCGGAAGCGTAACAAGTGTATTTCAAGTTACTCCCTACCGATTCGTTTTAGATCTGTCGTTGTCCGATACAAGCAGATCTATGTGACGAGTTTCGGTGGCTTCTCTCTCTCTCTCTCTCTCTCTCTCTCTCTCTCTCTCTCTCTCTCTTTCGTAAAGCGAGCTAGTTATCGGTCCGTGTGGTTTCGCTTCGCGTAGCAAGTGTATCCGATATAATATAAATAAAAAAATAATCTCGTGAAAACGAATTCGCGATCGTACGATTCCATCCGGGATCGTTTGGCCTTTACGTGACGAACGAATTTGACAGCGTAGATGAAATGGATGTACTACTGACCGTTCAATGTTTCTTACTATATTTTGAGTTATGGAACATCGAAATTTCAAAAAATGAAGTTTGATAAATGGACGTCATGCTTTTTCTTTTTTAAATATTTAATATTGATTAATATTTTTGGTTATTTTAATTATTCATCCGCTTAATCAGCTTTTTACTAAATATACAAAATTTAATGTAGACAGAAGCTGATGATGAATATTGATAATTTGCGAAAGCAGGCTTTTTATTACGCTTAACAGGACAGGAACAAAATCATCTGCCTGTTCGAGAAACAAAGACCAGCTTTGGAAAATAACTTTGAATTCACCGATACTCGCAATTAATAACTAGTAAACTTTGCATCGGAAAAATTAAATTTTACAATGTTCATGGACGTCTGCAATACAATAAAAGATAGATACTATCATTTATACATTTGATGAAAAATCATTCGAATCTCTAAAAATTCATTGTCGTGAATCTGTGAAATTTTAACAAGTTCCGTAAAATCTATCAAATTTCTATGATTAATCTACGATATTTTGTTAATACTTCAGAATGTCGAGAACCAAAAATAAAATGTAGCTTCGATTAAAATACGTTACACAGAGTTGTGATATTTCCTTGTTGATACCCGATGTAAGAACTATATCACAGGATCGTGTCGCAACTTTTTAACCAATTCTACGAACGTCAACGTCGGTACTGCCAAAGAAAAATCGTTGCGAAATGGAAACGAATCAAGATGACAGAATACCCCCGGAAAAAGGGGAAAAGGGAAGACTAAAAGGGGGAAAAAAAGTGTGGAAGCTCGCGGATGAACGAGAACGATCGAATTCATCGACGATACTCTTTTTTTTTCTCTCTTTCCGTCCCTCTATGTCACATATATCTTTCTTTCTCTCTTTCTTTTTTTTTTTTTTGCTTTACGATCAACTAGATCGGCGAATGGTTCCGCGGAGGAACGCCAGCGATCGGTCTCGCTGAATTTCGGCAGTAATTCGCTGGGAATCCAGCGGAGGCCGTTTTATTGCAGCTGTAAAAACAAGGGTTGGCGCGAGGGAGGAAGAGGAGGAAAGGAGAGAGAGAGAGAAAGAGAGAAAGAGCGACGTCGTACGTTCGATGTAAAACGGCTCGTAAATCGGCCGATTTCACGATGCGTCTCGATGGAAGATGAGAGGAAGGGATTCGCCAACCCCGTTGACCGGTAGACACTCTATTTTTTTCATTTTTACGACGTTCGCACGACATGTCGTGTGCATATATTAAAGAGGTTGGTGGCGAAACAGGTTCCGGAACGAGGAATCGTGGAATATGCATTTAAACGTCACGCCCGGCACGTGAATAACCCGCTAGTCCCGAGGAACGAGTCGAGATCCTCGTGACAGAAGAAGACAGAAAAAAAAAAGAAAAAAGAAAAAAATACAGTGGAATGTATATTTATCGTGTACTTACAGACGACGTCGATTTTCCAGGATTTCTCCACGAACAGTCCCGTCACGTTCGGATTTTCGGCCCTGCAGGTGATCGATTTCCCATGATCCTCCACTCCCGGCTCGAACTCCACCATGCTCACCGTTCGGTTCTCCGATCTCTCCTCCTGCGTGTGACAGTTTCGTTTGTAAAGTTACGCAAACGTTACGCTTTTCGGCGATATCATTGGAATTGGAAGGTTCACGTTCGAGTTTTAAGAGACACAGAGATCGTGGATTTGAATTTCACACGTAGCACGGTGAATCAAACGTGTATCAAAGAATTAAGCGTCCACGTTCACGCGTCCATGACCTTGTGCAGCGTAGAATAAATTTGCTGGCCCGTATCGTGTGGATTTAATTGAGGTCGAGATTTTCTTTCGTAGTTGTACGTGTGTGTTTAAAACGTGGATCTTCGTGTGAAACAAAAATATAACGAATATCAGTGTCAGCCCTATCCTAACTTTTTTTTCCGGCAAGTCGTTTCAAAGAGCTTTTTCACTTCTGTGTTGCAATGTGTTTATATGGACAAAACAACGCCAGTCAATTTGACGTAGTTTGTTTTCAAAAAGAAGAAATTGTTACGCGTCTTTATAATTATTATTATCATCCCGAGATATAATAATATCTCTTTGGCTCACATCGACCGAGAAGGACACAATATTTGCACACGTATTGTATCATACGTCTGCAAATTTCTGAAATCAGTCCAAGAATATACCAAAATTGCGAAAACTAATTTATTGGCTCCAAATATTAATTAGCGCAAGTATGTCAAATATAATTATTCTTATTTTATCAAAAGTATTAATTAAGATTTAGTAATATTTTCATGTATCTAAAAAATATAATGCCACGAAGAAATATAGAAACTGGTGAAAGTACGCTTCGTTGGAAACTAAGGCTGCAGTTTGCTTCACCGAAAACCGAGTTAACGAGAGACAGAAAGTAAAAAAATCACGTGGATCGATCTGCTGTATCTTGTTTGCCACGCATTGCAGACGTGCATCAGACGCACACGGAAAGAGAAGACGGGAAATTTGAAGCACACTCGCACCATTGAAGGAACACGGAGCTTCTCTCCAGGAACTATACGTGACCTTCGCTCCAATGATTTACCTGACGAGGTAGAAAACGTTCGGCACGCCATCGAGCGCCAACGAAACGTCGTCGCGCTATAACATTTCGTACGTTTCTGCGAGGGGCAATTCCTCGCTCGTGTTCTCTAACGTTTCCTATAACGTTCGGCAATTTCGTCGAATAGGAATGAATTTTTCACCGAAGGAACCTCCTGCGTTCTCTTTACAACCGTTCTCCCACATCGTTCCCTCGCGACGAGCAGAAAGAGCTCGCAGTTTCTTTGTTTCGGTCCTTTGCCGGGACGCGGGAGCGTAATTTCGGGGAAATAATAATTTCCCAAGGTATCGCGAATGCCGTTCGCAGCGAGGAAACGTCGTCGGTGCAATTCTGCGGCGGAAGACGGCGAGAAACGAGAACGAAGCTGAAGGATACAAAAAAAGAAAAAGAAAAAGAAAAAGAAAAAGAAAAAGGAAAAAGAGGAGAGGTGGATGAGGGGAGGGGGAAAGAGGAGGATGGGAAACGAGTTCGACGGCAACTCTCGGTATGGTTAATTTTGGTTATATTAAGGTCGAGAGGCGGACCGTGAGCAACGCCTGGCAACATCTGGCTGGAAATTCATTCCCTGTTAGCCCCGGACTCGAAAGGACCCCGGGTCCTGCCGCGCTAACGCCGTGGAATCCTTTCTAAAGAGAGCCGCGCACGCCTCCCGGACTCTACCGAGCGTGAATTTCACCGGCAGCTTCTGACGGCGAGAGTTTCTCTCCGCTGCGCGTCGCGGCGCCGTTGCCGCGTTTTTTTCTTTCTTTCTTTCATTCTTTCATTCTTTCATTCTTTCTTCTTTTCTACTATTTATTTTCCACGCCGGTCGCGAGAGAAAAAGCAGGAGGAGCCGCTACTTCAACCAGGGGAATTTTGTTTCAAAGCGTGTCAACCGATAGCGCGCTCGACGCGGAAGCGCGTTAACGGGGTCGGGATCGAAATTTTTCCTCTTCCTTGCCACCCTCCCCCCCTCCCTCCTTCTTGTAACCTCTGTTCCATTCCCCTTTCGCGAGCGAGATGCTGTAACACAGGAATTCTCGGTTACCCAGAATTATCCTCTCGCCACTTTCTCGTCTAATTTTCGTTCTCCGCGGCGACTTGAAACTGAGAAAGATCAAGGGGGAGGAAAAAGAAGAAGAAAAAAAAAAAAGAAAAAAGAGTCGCGGAATTTCATTTAGAGATATTTATACGCTCCTAAGTGCAGCGATGCGCTGGCGTTTCGAGCGAGCAGGAAATAAAGATGATATATCGCGTGATTAAACCAGTGGGGAGAGGGGGAGGGGGAGGGGGGGGGTGACGACCCTATCGCAGTTTTCCTCCGGTGCTTTCGGCGCCGCTAACGAAACGCTTTCCGGTCGTGAAGCCGCGTAATACGGTACGCGTGGCGAACCGGGGGTAAAGACAGCCTGAATGACTATGGGATAATCAGGATGGTAATGCGATAGAAGCGGTCTACGTGTTCCGCCGCTTATAGGATCTGCTTACGCTTAATATCTTTCCTCGCCTCTTCCCTCCCCCGGCGAACCCCTTTTTCTTTCTCACCGTTCGCCCGAAGAGGGAACCCGGGGTGCCCTCTTCCTACTCTGTTCTCTAAAGCCACGTTACGACGCTGTATTTTATTATTCGTCGCTTAAGCAAAGAGAGGGAGAGAGAGAGAGAGAGAGAGAGGAACGCCACTAGGAATTTTAAAGAGACGCGTCGCCCCCGTAAACGAGCAACGACGTGTCCTTATCGTCGGGCCCGTTTCTTCTAACGATGCACTACGTTCCGCCGTTCGTAACTCTTCGCTCGTGTCATTCTCCGCAACGGATTTAACGCTATCGCGAATAGGTGAAACGTACCTAATTACTTCGAGACACGAGCTCGCAAGACACGTGACGTTTTAGCGAGTCAAAGAATACCGTGTATGTAAATCTTTGTCACGATTATTACGGTGAAAAAAAACTCCATTTATTCGAACTTGAATGTATGTAACTCGTGTTATATAAATGAAAAATCGCTAGCAGAGGGAACAATCAGTTAATTCTTATCGTGTGAACTATTTACAATTATATAAACTATCTCTGACAAGTTTATATAAATAGAGTTCTACTGGATAGAGTTATACTAGAAATAATTGAACATGCATCTTTTATTTTGCTAAATCGTTAATTGAATTCGATCATTACCATGATCATAGACACTGCACGATTTTGATTATGGATGTGTATGATTGGGGCTTATAGTTAGGTTATGTTCTGTCTCATCCTCAACGGTGATTGTATGTCTTTATTACAAAAAGTTGAATGTTCTTTCTGGATGTTTTCTTCCGGAGAATTTCTTCTCTGCACTATATTATTAAATTTACTTCTTGATTATCCATTATCGGACAAATCGGTCCTTTTTTATGATTCTATGCTTCTGTTGAAATTTTCCGATGTGTCATTAAATCCATTTAGCTTCATACCGTTTCAACGTAGTACAACAGACTGATCTCGTTAACCGAACGAATGAAATGAAAAATAAAAATAAAAATAATTGACGGTGTAAAACAACTGTATTTCAAAAATATATGTACGTATCAACTATGGATAAATACGTTTATTTCAATGATGTTTGTCGAAAAAACGAGCGACCGTACCACAGTGTAATTTTGATTTCAGTGATTGTTACAAGAATAAAGTGTTCATGATTGAGCGATTTTCTTTCAATGCCTAAAGTCTGGGAAGCGAAATTAGTTTCTAAATCTTCGACGACGTTGCACGAATTCCTTTTTCGAATATCAAATTCCTCCAGAGTAAACGTACGTATCGGCGTATACGCGTATCGTAAGGGCATGTTCCGAAGGTCCAGCAATCCGAGTCGAGGGATTGATTCGCGGGTATCTCTCGCCGCAGGAAGAGATCCCTCGCGTCAACCAGACTTGCGAGAAGGCGTTGCAGGATTCATTAAAATTCGCTTGCGTCCTCTGAATATTCGATGCGCGTCCCCTCTCATCGGTGAATCTTCACACGTATCCGGTCCGCAGGGCCCGGTCAAAGAATTTTAATTTCACCGCATAAAGGTCCAGATGGTGGCCGGCTGGTCGCGGCGTGTTTTGTCCCGAATTAGAATTCAGCCGAGATTCCATCGGTGACTGTCGTTTACTCTGTTAATCAGTCCGTGTCGGTCCGAGTCTTGGTCCGTGCGTTGAGAGTACAAGCGGCTCAGAGAGATATTGAGAGAGAGGGAGAGAGAGAGAGAGAGAGAGAGAGGGAGGGATATAGAGCACAGGTGTGAGAACGAGCAAGGATATTGCGAACCTGCTGTTGGTGCATGGATACGCGGCGCTGAGGCGTCGTTAAGCGTTGCGGGCAAGGGCTTGTTAATGAACAACGCGAAATTAATTAGGGTCGCGCGTCAACGTGCCGAAGACAACGGCGCAAGCGGCACACACGTGCGCGCCTCGCCGGCCAACGTTACATCTGTGATTCCGGATTATCGATAATGCGACCGCCTCGGGCCTCTGTCTAACCATCGTGATTTAGGTGCTGGCGTATCTGTTCGCTCGACCGAACGCCAGATTAACTCGGACTGGGACGAGATTACAAATCGACGAGCATTTCTCTCTCTCTCTCTCTCTCTCTCTCTCTCTCTCTCTCTCTCTCTCTCTCTGGTGAACTCTCGATCTTGCTCACGATCCTCTCAACGTTCGTTCTACCTTATATTCTCCTCGCTCGTTTCTACACGCCATCGTTTCTATTCTTGACGCTTTCGGTACGGTGCTCTCTGCTTTCCCACGGAAATATTTTAGTCCAGCGCCCAGGGAGGGGGGGGGGGGGGGGGGGGGGGGACGGGAACCGCTTTANGGGGAGGGGAACGGGAACCACTTTAATTGCGGCGGATTACGCTCCTGCCGATCGTTTCGCTAAAGACAAATCCGACCTCTAAGCCGGACCCGAGAGGCTGCATTTCCTTCGCGAACGCAAATGCTGGCGAAATACAAAGAAAATCCCCGACTCGGGGCGCGGAGTAACGGTGTTGCCTCGAT